GGGTATACTTTTGACCCTGTGTGGATTTAAGAAAATCCAAAATACATTAAAACTTGTGCACCCAGCTCTTGTTTTTAAAAATCTATACAGTGGACATTACAGTTCACATAATTACAGTACACCTTACGGCATACTTGGAGAAATATAACATCCATGACCGTTTTCAATCTGGGTTCCGTAAATTGCATTCCACTGAGACAGCACTACTGAAAGTAACTAATGATATTATGATGTCAGCAGACTCCGGAGAATACACAGTCCTAGTCTTGTTAGACCTTACCTCAGCCTTTGATACAGTCAACCATACCATCCTGATAAACAGACTGAGAGACCTGGTTGGGATGTCTGGCTCTGTTTTAGACTGGTTTTCATCTTATATATCTGAAAGAAGTTTTAGTGTGTCTGCAAACCAGATCATGTTGGAATCTACAGAGTTGTTGTATGGAGTTCCTCAGGGCTCTGTGCTGGGACCTATTCTGTTTTTAATATACATTCTTCCTTTAAGTCAGATAATACAGCAGTTTCCTGAAGTATCTTACCATCTTTTTGCTGACGATATTCAGCTATATTATTTGTTTAAGCCTGCTGAAGCTCATAAGCTCTCCAATCTGATTGACTGTTTAACCAACATTAAACAATGGTTGAACAATAACTGCTTACAGCTAAACCCAGACAAAACAGAAACTTTGATTATTGCACCAGGCAGTGCAATACCTGATATTAAACGGTGACTGGGTGACCTAGGTTCCTCCCAGAAACATAACCTTAGAAACTTGGGTGTCATTTTTGATGAAGCTTTTTCTTTGGAGGGACATCTAAATCAGACAGTAAGAACCTGCTTTTTTCACCTGAGGAACATTTCTAAACTTAGATCCATTGTGTCAACAAGTGAACTCGAGATGATAATACATGCTTTTATCTCTACAGGACTTGACTACTGTAACAGCCTGTTTACTTGTCTAAACATGAAAGGGCTAGCCCGCCTACAGGTTGTTCAAAACTCTGCAGCGAGGCTACTGACCCGCTCGAACAAGGGTGCTCATATGACCCCTGTGTTAAAGTCGCTGCACTGGCTACCAATCAGATTCAG